CATCTCGTAAATCCAACGCATCCATCCCATGATTTTTACCCAAGACCTCCAAGACGGAGTTCCAAGCTCTAATTGCCAAGGGACCCATGGGGATGTTAATGAAAGTTCAATTTTTAATCAAGGGCGCTTAAGTTCAGTGAGCTGCCTAACAATTTGACAAACATAACTGAACGAAAAAATATTAATTTCAAGAGGATACTACTTATAATTAGCTAGTTCTTTTACAAAGAGTAAAAAATATGATTTTTTTCATTAACATGTTATAATCGCTCAATAAAGCTTGTATCTAACTACACTATGCATGAATCAAACTTCCATAGAAGGAGTCATCAGAAAAGTACCAATCAAATTGTATCATGTAAACGATAAAATATGAACAAATATCAATATGACACAATATTAGAGATTAAAAAATGTATCTTCCCTTAATATTAAAAATAGTATATTGAGGTTCAAAGCAAAGCATGTGAAATAAATATCCTATCTCCAAACTTGAAACCAGGTAAACAATCTCATCACCTTTTAGAAAACATCGACAAACAGAAAGTTTTGAACATACAGAAACACACATGAAAAGGCATAGACATTGTATTTGTGCATATATGTAGATGAGATATTAAATTCCTGAGGAATAGGGCTGGTGACCGAACTCTCCCAGAGTATTTTGCTTAGATGTAAGAACACTATAACACGAAGGATAAAACCATCCCATCATTTAAAAAAAAGAACAAACAGAAAGTTCTGAAACATATACAAACACACACGAAAACGCACAGACATTGTAAACGTGTGAGTATTTTGATAACATTAAATTCCTGAAAACGAGGATGGTGACCTTAATCTCTTAGGAACCCCTAGTTAAACACAAAGAAGACAGCAGTACAAGAGGGAGAATATTTACCGTCTCAGGATCCCATATTTTAACAATATGACAATCTGTAGTAATTAATTTTGGTCGCTCAAAGTTCAGAGTGTTATGCCACTTAATATCCAATATTGGTTTACCATACCTGCATAACAGTGACAGTTTCCAAATATTAATAACTCATAAACAAAGGAAAATTGAGCTCACTGCTGCAAGAAGACTTCACATGCACAACTAACCATACTGTCCCCAACAAGGGGCAAAGCTAATAAGCACCCTCACTTACATGTGATCCTTAACTCGAATAGGAGATGAAGAACGTAAGTCATAGATCAGCACCTGCACATATTATCATCAATAATGAAATGTTTAAGGTGATATAACAGAAAAAATTCATGAAATGCAGGCATGATAAGGATTGATTTTCACTACTACAGAATCATACCTTTCCTGCACTACTTCCAACACCCATGAGGAAACCCCCATTCTCATCAAAATCTATTGCAGTAACCTCCTACAAATCAAGCAGTGTCAACAAGACTTTTAAACTTAAATGAACATAATTGAAATGCAGATATTATCAACTGCAGGAAACGCACAAGGCTGTCACATGGATCTATGCAGAGATATGCAGAGTGAATAGTAAATATTCAATTATATTTCCTTGTCAGCATTTCTTTCAAGCATATTAAGAACAATTATTGCTGCAAAAAGTCAAGAAAAGCTCCAACTTCTAAAAGTATATAGAGAAGAAAGCCCACAAGCGACCAAAATAGCAAAATAATCCTCAAAGCTATTTCTGAGAGAGAGAGTAAAAAAAAAAACTTGGACTGAAAAAATCTTACTTTAAACCAAAGCCTACATCAGACACTTGCAACAGAATATGTATGGATCAAATATCAGATTAAGCAGCAAAAGCTACCTCGTCAGCACCACCAGCAGGTGAAACAGCATTGATTCTGCCAATTGAAGATCTCATTCTCATGTCGAAGCACTCAACAGCACCATCCTCACCACCACAAGCAACTAATCCATGAAGCATGCTGAAACCATACAAACACACCATCCTTGAATGAGCAAACCTAGTGTGAAATTGTCAATAGTAAAAAAGAATGAGAAGGGTCAAAAAAGAAACCAAAATTCCACAAGAACCTTCTAGAAACCACATTCAGTGCTGGAGATTGTGTGTTAAGAGAGGATAAGAATCTTCCCTGTTGAAGAATGAAATCAGTCATCAATAAAACAAATGATACATTTTTAGCAAAAAGAAATCCAATATTACAAAATCCCCAGCTTTAGGCATGCATAAGCATCCTTTTTTTTAATAAGTAAAATATTTCATCGAAAGTAAAGGGGAAAAAACGGTGGAATCCTAGCAAACAGTAAATATAGAAAACAAAAACAAAATAAAAAATGAAGGAAAACTAAAATTTTCAAAAAAAAAAATCTGAGAGAAATATAATAGAAATATAAATGAAGAATTCTTTAAGTTGAGGATTTGCATAGAAGCTCTATCTTTTAAAACATGTGGTGGTTCCATTCCAAACTAACCACATCAAAAATGACAATACTAAGCCCCAAAGTACATCATGGTTTTTCTCAGCAAACTTTCATTATATGCTGATCCTCTCAAGCTACTCAAAAAAATATATACATACTGACCACAGCTCCTACAGAAAAATGAATTAAAAGAAAGTTCATCACCCTTCATTACTGCAGACGCATCAGTTAACAATAATCAGCTTTCTCCCAGAAAATTATCCAGGAGCACAAACAATTACGTAGGAAATAGAATCCCCATCCACAAATAAAATGAAATCAAAATAAACAGAACAAACTCTTTAAACTTAGATCATAAGTTCTTATCAAGGGCAACAAACACCTTTATTTGAAATTTTTTTTATGACAAACACCTTATAGCTTCTCCCTGCAAGCATTCAACCCAATTACCAACATTTCCGCTGAGGAAAATCCACAAACATTAAAAAGATGGCTGTTAAGACAGTTTTATGTTCAACAGACAACAAAATTGAACTCAGAGGCTAAATTAAAAGTGACTAGATGTGCAACATTATTCTTGAATCTTTTTGAGGTTGTTGTGCTTGTGTCGCAAACTAGAAGCTGATGGAAATCTCCATATGTCTCATAAGGGCTGAAAGGGAGAATAAAAAGAATCCACCACTCATTAAACAATCTCAATGAATTACCTGTTCTAAATTAATTCTGTATAGATCTGGAGATGATGCAGCACAAAGCAGGTCACAAGACCAGCAATCATATGCAATATCCCTTCCCATCCTGTCAAACATCAGATGGACAAGACAACGTCAATCAAAACTTGTATAATTTGTTAATTAGTCAGTCCATGCCAGGCACTGCAAAGGTCAAAGCAAATACACAAACATCTGGACAACAATTAGCCACAACTTCTGCAAAGATAACAAGTATAGACAAACATACAAGATCAAAGAAGATACATATATCCTAAACAACAAATAACCACAACTTCTTCCATAAGGATAATGAGTGCAAAAGCAAATAAAGGAAGAAAATGAAATTATGGGAGACCATTTGGGTAGCATAAATTCAACTTCTTCTGCGAGGATAACAAGTATAGACAAACATACAAGGTCAAAGAAGATACATATATCCTAAACAACAAATAACCAGAACTTCTTCCATAAGATAACGACTGTAAAAGTATACAAAGGAAGAAAATGAAATTATGGGAGACCCTTTTGGGCAGTATTAATTCAATTTCTTATTCAGGAGTCATTATTGAAAGAGATTGAGCAAACAAAATAGTATGTACATTGAAAGGGTAAATTGCACAAACAGTACTTAACCTTTAAAGTTGGTCACATTTTGATCCCTAACCTTTAAATTGCTCCAATTGAAATCTTCAACCTCATTATGTTTGCAATTTTGATTCTGTCAATTTGGTCTATCAAGACCAATGGACTTTTCAGTCATGACATGTCAAAACCAGTTTGGTCTATGAAGACCAAAAATAAAGAAAAAACATGACACGTCAAAACCTAACTGACAATTTTTATGTCTTTTAATTATTCTTTATTTCTTCCTTTTCATTTTTATTTGTTCTTTCTTTCTCTTTCCTTCCCACTGGTAAAGGAGACAAGGAGGACAGATTCAATTACAAAAACATTTTTGTCAAATAAACATAACGTGGCAATAGTAACATCCTTAGAATTGGAATACCAACAAGTAATAGCAAGAGTTAATTATAAAATCTATTAATCACTAAAATTCAACCATCCATCTAGAATGACAAGGTGTGTGTGTAATATATGATACGTGACACTGGATTTGATCCCATAAAAAAACAGAGCAAAATAAAAAATTAAAGCACTAGGAAACCTTGGAATCCGCAGACTGTAGTGCTTTCCATATTTTGCATGTAGATTAACAGAACGATCAGCACATAAGAATGCAAGTTTTGAATAGTCATCAGCCAATACCTATAGATATAGAAAAACACTAAATCATTATAGTACCGCATAGCACAAGAAATTTCTAAACATAAATTAGATGTTCTTAATGAGTTTCAACACTTAAAATTTTGAAAAAAGGAACCCACTGAAACTTGGGTAAAAAGAGAGAGAACGAAAGAGAGAGAAAGCAAGAGAAATATATTGCGTTTATATGAAGCACCAAGGATTAAACCATATATATAAAAAGATCAATCAAAAATTAGAAGGAAAACAATTTGATTAACAAGATAACGAAGGTACAAAAGTGGCTTAAACACTGAATTATGACAACTTATATAAAAGTACACAATTGCCAAGAAAATCTTATACTCCTTCCATCCATATTTCATGTCCTACCAAAATTGCAAAGAAAACCTTATACTCCTACCAAAATTGCCAAAGAAGATTTTACCCTTTGTAATCTGAAAATGGTTCACACCACCGAAGCAGAATCAAATGCCTTATCATGGATAGATTTGTAAAGTTAATGACTATTATTCCTCAAATTTTTTCAGCCCTCACATAATAAACAGGTTCGGTTATTGGATTTTCTCTTATAAAACCGAAGATTCTTTTTTTCTCTTTTCACAATTCTTCAAAATTTTGAAATCAACAAAAGTCACATGTGCAACAAATCCAGTAGCCAACACGTTAAACTACTGCATCATTAGTGACAGCCATTTTAAAAGATATAAAATACCTGAAAATCGATTATTTCGGATTCCAAGTGCCTCTCAAACTTCATAGAAAATTGTCTAAGCTCATACACTTTCACTTGTGGAGGATATATACCTGAATGGTGAGAGCCAACCAATAAGACTGACATGAACTTCAGAAATTAGAAAAGAAAAAGGAAAATACAAACTATAAAAGGTGAAGTCTAATGAACCTGACGCAATAAGGAACTCCCCATCAGGAGTTATCTTGATTTTCGAGGTTGCGGTTTCAAACCTCAAATCCTGAATCAACTCTACCCTCTCCATATAATCTAGTATTAAAAAAATACAAAGAGAAACGTCATAAAACATCATTCAACAAAACAAGTATGGTATGTAGTAGCACTGAAACCCGCTAACAGCAAAAAGCCTGAATAACTTAAATGACCAAAGACCACCAACTAGGGTTTACGGTTTTAGGTGTGATTTTAAACAGGTTGCGCTTACTTTTGTCCTTGCGGAGAGATCGCTGCTTCTTGAGAGAGAGCCAGGCAGCTACGGAGCGCAGGTGGGAAGATATTGTATACATTTTCACCCCGTTTATAGAGACGGACTTCATTTTTCCTCCATGGTTCGCCATGTTTTTTCTTCTCCTCTTTCTATGCTACTAGCAGAAAGACGAGAAATTTGCGAGTAGCAAGAGGCAACCGCAGCAGAAGCAGAAGAGAAAGAATTGGAGGAAATTCTAGTCTCTTGTGCTGCGGCTGGCGGCAATGAGGGGAAGTAGAAGAGAATAAAAATAATTACTATTTGAGCTTCAATTCTCCAAACTGGGTTAAAGAAGACAACCTAGAAAGAAAAACTCTTATTGGGCTTTTTTATGTCTTGACCTCCTGCCTTGCCTTGCCTGGGTGGGTGATAACGACTTCGAAATTAATCAAACAAATGATTTATTTTTTGATCAAACAAAACAATTCAAAATAATGATTAAAAATTTTAAATGGAAAATTTATTCTTCTCTCTATCAAAGAATTATAAGAAAATTATGTGATGTAGAATAACTATATTTTTCATTGAATATGTAAAATGCTAATTTTATGAAAAATTTGTAACTAAATTAAAAATCATGAAAATTATTACATCCAAATATGGAATTGAATGATAGACATGACGTGAATGTCACAAGTTAAAAATATAAATTCGAATTTCATTTTTTAAAAAAATTGAAAATTATTGAATATGTAGAAGAGATAAATCTAAGGCTTGACCGAATAGACCCTTGAACACTCTAAAATACTAAATAAATGTTCAAGAAAACAGAATAACAAAGTCAGAGATAATAGACTATCACAAAGTTTGTAATAGTTTGCCAAAAACTCAGCTGAGAAGCAGTAAGCGAAATTCATTCACCGCCTTCCAAATATAATAATAGTTGATCTTTACTCCCACATGTTCATCACCGAGAAAATGAGGTAAAGAGCGAATTCAGGATGCACAGCGGTATCTAACGAACTAGTGCTATAAGAAAAGTAAATGTTGTCAACATGTATCCCACACAGGAAATAAAACAGTGCTCGCGACGGTTTATACACTGAACAAAACAGAGAAGCCCAGATGCTGTATGGGTAGCACGTGCAAAGCTGTCAACTTGGGGTTGTTTCAAATCTTTGATCCGGCACTTGGGCACTTGGGGCACTTGGGCTTCAAATGAAACATTCAAAGGGATTTTGAATATATTATTACATTTTTCAAAGAGATTTTTACAATCAAATTCAAAGGGCACTTTGTTTATTGCATTTTTATTTACTCTAATCAAATTCTAATATTTTCATTTTAAACTAAATACCTTTTCATTGTTAACGATTAACTGATTGTCATTAATTAATGTTGCATTCGTCGTTTGATATCCACGCCATTCGAACATAAAATGTTTGCGTCGGCTGTTCAAGTC